GCCGCAACTGCTGACTACACCAGGTGGCCACCTTGTCCGGGTCACCCAGCAGGAAAACCAGGTCAGATCTGGTGAGGAGTTGTATCAGAGGGCCCACGTCCAGCGTCACGAGGTCGCTGACCTGTGACGTCATCGGCCTTCCTCCCTGCATGTCTGCCGAGTCGACCACCACCCACGCCATGAACATGTGACACTGCTGCAGGTATGCTCCTGATTTGGTGCAATGCCACCACTGTAGTAGAAGTGGTGCCGTGTGGACCAGTGGAGGGATAGTCTCCTTCCACCACCACTCCCAGAACGGGGCGGTGTGGTGGTAACATACACCCTCCAGGACAGCCAGTCGGACGAGCGTCCTTCCGAGTCGGAGCCGCAGCTGGGACTCTAGCTGGCGTTCTGTGAGGGGCCCTAGCCCGCCCTCCAGCAGCAGATCCACGTTCCACTGATCCACACAGCTTGTCATCAGGAGACGTGTGACATGCTCCCTCATCAGCTGTACTGTGTCAATGATAGCCCGCCGCTCTACGGTGCTGAGTTCAGCTGCCACATCGATGTTATGATCGAAAAAACACGGTATTTTCCTTGCGCTCAATTTTTCCTCCAGCCAGTCAAGTATTTTGTTGACACCGTCGGTGACGCCTTTCCACAATGAAGCTGGCGTGGTTTGAGCCAGCCACAGCCCGGCCGTTTTTATAAAGTATGACTTCAGCTGTACATCGTCGCTCATGACCTCGTTCTTTTCAAATGTATTTTTCATGGCTTTTACTGCCACAATAGCCGCTCGTATGACTGGAGCCAGGTATCGAACCGTGATCACCTCCGCCCGTGAGTAGGAAATCCGAAACTCGATAAACTCGGTGTCGCTGCCGGGCCGGCCGGTCGGCACAAGGTGTACTCCAAATCGTCGGATGTCAGCTCTCGCCGCCGCTGGTGGGAAGTCCACCTCCAGGTGGCAGCCGTCGAGCTGGTCTTCAGCCGGCCACCACCCGCGCACAAGAATACACGGCACAAAGTCGGTGCCACCGTCTGTAACATCATTTGATCCCTTGACGTTGACAGCTGGTCCGGCAGTGCTGATTTTGCCGTCGCTCCTAATCCGACATAATTCCACCATTAGCTGGCGGATGGAGTCGGCCGGCAAGGCCTCCAGGGGCTTATCATGACAGCATTTAGTCGTCTTGACCCAGTGCAGCGTCACAAATCCAGGGTTTTTGGTTGGTCGAGCCCACAGCTGCGGTGCAGACTGTGGCGTAATAACGGCCGGCTCCTCTCTCTTTCCGAGTGCCGCCCAATGGAATGGAGCGTCGAGCTCGAACATCAGATCAAAATCTGACGTTCCACCTACGCCCACTAACCCGTCCGTCAGCCCCTCGGCGCTGCTGCCTGATCTATTGATGGATGCTACTCTGAGGGGCTGGTCGGACTGACAGTGCCGACAACGGGCGGCGGAGGCGTCATTGATATCCTGCAGGGCTGCCATGAGTGGATAATCTACCTGCGTGGTGACAGTGTGTCTTACCTCAGCCTCGGTACAATAGGCCTGCCACCTGGTGGAGTGCTTGTCCCTAATGTCGGCTGCCAACAGCAGAGTGTCGGGGATGAGATGTGCACACGATCCATACTTGTCTGCTAGCTTCCTCACTCTCCAGTCAAAGCACCGTTCCAACCTCCTCTTCCGCTCCGCCTTCCCCACACCGAACAAGTCAGCTCGTGACATGGCTGCCGGCTGCTCTGACTCTCCGGGACTGACTGAGGTCGGCCGACGTCGCTGTAGATATATACCGACCCCGACAGGAACACAGATAAGACGGAACGCTCTGTGGCCGTGTCCGTCCAGTGGCAGCGACTGACGCGATGCAGTGGTGAAGTCGGGGGCAGCGCTTTTGTTGGGGATATAGTTTGATGTAAATCCACATGTCCTTATGTTGTCACTAGCACTGAGAGGTCTAAGTTGTAGTTTTTTTTTTTTGTCCCACTGAAGGGTTAGCATATTTTCCTTTACAAACACAACAGTACAGTTGCATCAATCGCTGCTTTAACAAAACAACTCTTCACAAATGAAACAAACAAAACAGAAATACAAATAACTTAGGTAATAAGTGTAAATAAAATACGTCAATAAGGCTAAATAAGTTGATATAGTTTTGCGTGTGTGTGTTTGTGTGTGTGAATGTGTGTGTGTGTGGGTATGTGTTTGTGTATGTAGGTATGTGTGTTTGGTGCTCCAGACGGGCCGCCAGCCCCCGCCCGCACCGCCCGGCAACTTGTCGGGCGGCGCCCCCTAACCACCGACCGGGCGGGCGAACCGTCCACCCGACGGCCGGCGATCCGCCCGCCCGGCCGGCCGACCGGCCCCTTCAGGGAGGGCCGGTCCCGGGTTGGCCCGGATGGGTCTTAGGGGCGGGGGCCTAATCTTCAGCGGGAACTGTTCCCCGTGTGGGGATGGACAGTACCCGACTATACATGTGTTGTCGTTACAACAATCACGAATGTTGAGTTAATGAATACATTACGTTAAATGCGAAAAATTCCCATATTACGAATACGAAAAGCGAAGGGAAACGAATCGTCGTAATGCACTAAAAAAACTGTATTTTTCGTCGAAACCCGTCGGAACGCTCAGTAAAATCATAAATAAAATATTAACGTTCCTCGTGCGCTCCAATCGCTGTCGCCTTTCGTTGCGTCGGCGACACACTCCCCCCCCCCCACCAGAAATCGAACCGAATAACCGATATAGTCAGGTAACACACGACACATTTACCTCCAGTACCTTTTGGAGGCCGTCTGTCCATTAACCCGCGCCCCACTGGGGTCTGTGTATAACACGCCCTACTGGGGGGGGGGGGGCTATTCATAGCCCCCCTCCTAACTCCGAAACTACTGGGCCGATCGTCAAAATTCAAACGGCGTCTGATAGCCCCGGAAAAACTGTCGAGCGAAACCTAATTCCATTGACCTGGAGGTCACCGATGACGTCACAGGTCAGGTCAAGGTAAAAATTATTAGCATTTTGGCTTGTTCACATTTTGGGCTCTGGCCGCCGTCTTACAAGTCAGATCAGGCTCATTTTTGGTTTCCACACTCGTGAACAGATGCTCTAGATACCTTGAGGGTACCAAACTTGTACTTTGATTTTCAGGTCAGGGTCAGGTCATCACAGGTCACGGAAATATCATGTCATGCGTCGGTCACGTGACACATGTTTTATGGTCCATTTAGGCCATAGATTTCGAATTTGATGTCGTCTGTGTCATTCGAGGTCATTTTGAGTCGAATTTAGCTTAGGTCAGGTCACTTTCAGGTCAAAAAAGGTCAAATTTTGAAGTTAAAATTTTTCAACAAAAAAGGTGTCTATTGGATGCAGTTTGAGCTCAGGAACACGATGGTGCCATTTATATTGGTGTACGATGTCAAATACGTACTGAAAAATTGATTTGAATAATTAATAATTCTGATTTTTTGCAATAATGCGTATAACTTGGCCATTTTTGAAGATATTTCGCTAAAACTTGCTAGAGTTAGTCATAATCATGCGTTCTGTCACATATATTCCGGTTTTTTCGAAAAGTCAAAAACTTTTTGAAAAAATATAAAAATATAAATTTTGAATATTATTATATAAAATTTTCGAAATTTTCAAAATTTTGAAAATCCGAGATAGCAATTTGATAGCGCGGTCAATTCTGAGTCCATCAATGCAAAGAAATTGGATCTAGCTTAAAAACTGAGCTCTTGGGAGCGATTGCCGTGGTTCAATGTTTTGCGTCGAAATCGGACGAACATGACGTCACTCTGACGTCATTTTCGGCCGACCTATGGTAGCTACGAAGTTCAAATTTTGACACAAGGGGTCAAATTGATGCAGCTGAAGGTGCTGAAAGTTTGGCGTCGATTCGTCAAGCGGTTTGGAAGTTATTGCAGAAAAACGGGAGGGGGGGGCTATAAATAGCCCCCCCCCCCCAGTGGGGCGCGGGTTAACAAGCGCACAGTCTAACGATATACTCGCGCGCCTCAGAGACGATCTCAGGATCCTATGTACAACACCGATATTCCTCACGTCACGCCCTGCGTCACGTGCGTGCTCACTCAGACTCCTCGAGAACACACAACCGGACGACAGGTCGGACATATGTGCCACTCTGCGTGTTTAGTTCGACTGACCTCACTCGTCCATCTGATCCCGGGAACACTTTGGCTACCCGAGCCAGCCGGGCCAGCGGCCACGAGGTACATTACTCTCAGCAACTAGCACCACGTCACCGATCTGAATGTTTCTGGTATCCTTCGTCCACTTCTGTCTACCGATCAGTGTGGGCAGATATTCTCTGGTCCATCTGCGCCAGAAATGGTCTGCAATCTGTTGCGAGTGACGCCAACGTCTTTTTTTTTGTATGTAGCCAAGCACCACCTGGCTGTCAGTCCAGAAGTAGACGCTGTCGATAGACATAGATAGTGCTGACGTGATACTTTCAGCGAGTCTTGTAGCTAAGACAGCTCCCTGCAACTCCAGACGGACCACGGTCAGCTGCTTCAGAGGAGCGACTCGAGTGCGGCTCATGACCAGCGCGCATTGGATAGCGCCGGTCGCGTCGATTTGCCGGAGGTAGCCTGCTGCGCCGAAGGCTGCTTCCGAGGCATCGCTGAACACGTGCAGCTCTGACCTCTTCACTGGTCCATCCAGAGCGGTGTAACAGCGAGAGATCCGTAGCTGTGAGAGGATGTTGGCTTCCTCTTGCCAGCATCGCCACCTGTGAAGGTCCTGTTCGTCCAGCTGGCTGTCCCATGTAAGCTGCTGTCTCCATAGACCCTGCATCAACAGCTTTGCCTGCAGCATAAACGGCGACAGCAGACCGAGCGGGTCGTATACCGCTGCTATTGCCTTCAGAATTCCCCGTTTCGTCGTTGGGAGATTTCGTTTCTTCGGAACGTTTAGACCGATCGTGTCCTGTTCTGTGTCCCAGATCAGGCCGAGCACGCGCTCAAGAGAGAGCGAAGTGAATGCGTCCAATTCGGAACGAGCCCTATCGGTCGGCTGAACAGATTCCATCACCTCTCTTGAGTTGCTTGTCCATTTTCGCAGGGTGAACCCGCCTGTGGAGACGAGCTTGGTGACGGTGTGAAGTAGGTCGGCAGCACTCTTAGGACTTTCTGCTGAGGCCACGTAGTCGTCCATGTAGAACTGCTTTGCAATGTCAGATGCTGAGTGCTTGTTGAGTCCGACTTCTACTTGACTTTCAATCACCTTTCGTAACGCGTAGGGGGCGATCGCAGGAGAGCACTTTGCGCCAAAAATGGCGACATTCATTTCGTATGTGTCTGGAGGTCGGCCACACTCCAAGTCCCTCCAGAGAAAGCTGAGGGCTGGTCGATCGCTCTGCTGGATGCGCACTTGATGGAACATTTGATCGATGTCCCCGACTATAGCCACCGACTTCTCGCGAAAACGCATCAGAATAGCCGGAAGCTCTTGAAGAAGGTCTGGGCCAGTTAGCAGCTCGTCATTCAGCGAAGTTCCATTGAACTCTGCGGACGCGTCGAACACAACTCTTATCTTCCCGGGCTTGTTCTGATTAAAGACGGCATGATGAGGAAGGTACCACCTTTTAGGGTTGGCTTTGGCTGCCTCGTCTTGTCCCAGCTTACGAGCATGCCCGAGAGAGACATAATTGTCGATGGCTTGTTTGTATCCCTTCGCCTTGTCAGGGTTACTTCGAAGTGACTTTTCAGTTCGTTCCAGGCGACGGAGTGCGCCGATGCGATTCTCCGGCAGCGACACTTCGTCCTTTTTCCACAGGAGACCACATTCAAAGTGGCCATCGTCTTGAAGCCTGGTCGTGTCTTCGAGTATTCGAATGGCTCGTCTGTCTTCGTGCGAAGTCTCTTTCTTCAAGTCGTGTGAGGTACCGAATGAGTCCGTTTTCCACCAGTTCTGCAGCAGCTCGTTCAGCTCGTCTTCCTGAGAGGTGCTGCGGTGGATGTGCATCACATGGTGCTGATCAGTCGGAGTCAAGCTGGCGATGGAGCCAGTCTGAGCCCAACCGAAATGCGTTTTGATGGCGACTGGCTGGCCTGCTTTCCCGACACGTACTTCTTTCTGGAGAATCGCTTCGGTAACATTGGCTCCAAGAAGCACTTCTACTTGGTCTGCGCCAACATCGGCTATGTCCAGCCCGTTCAAATGAAGCCACTTCGAGCGCGCGGAGGAGCTCAGCTGGGGTACCGGAACGTTCAGTCTTGGCACCGTCCATACTTCATTTACAGTCACTGAGCGTGTCTCCGAATCCTCCGCCAGTGCGGTGAGCTTCACCGATGTCTTCATGGCCATCCGCTGCGGTCCGCTGCCTTCCACGTTGCTCAGCGATAGAGGCCGAACTTCACCAGTCAGCTGCAACTTCTCAGCCAGCCGGTTGGTACACAGTGAGGTCTGAGCCCCCGAATCGAGAATAGCGAACGTGTCGACGTAAGTATTGTCTCCGTGAACCCTAACCGGCACTATCTGAAGCAGGGTCATTTCATCCTTCCGTGGAGTTGTAGCCGCGACTGTCCTACGAGTTGAACCATCAGTCTTAGAAGGGAAGACTCTGCTGCTGCCGTGAAGAAGGCGATGATGTCTTCCCCGGCAGTTTTCTTCTTCACATGTCTCTACCGATGGACAGTGTCGCGACCGATGTCCTAGTTTCAGGCACAGAAAGCAGCGAGCACTTTCACCGATAAACTTTGCTCGTTCTCCTTTTGACAGCTGCAGAAACGAAGGGCACACGGACAGCTCGTGTGACTCTCCGCAGCTACAGTGTGGCGCGTCCTGCTCGTGCGGAGGTCTGGCGCGCTTTATGCTGGCCTTCGGTGCCGTGGTCAAGGTTGCTGGAGCTGAAGGTGTTCTTAGGAGGCTCTTGGAGCGGTCACTCTTGTAGCGAGTCGTTCTGTCGTAGTCCGTGGGCTTGGCTGGGAGGGCCGTGACGATGCGAACTTGTTGGCTCAGCCAGCTGTCGAAGTCCCTTAGACCAGGTCGTTTTGGCTCCATTTCCACGATTTGACGCCCCCATTCTCTTTTCAGCTCGTTCGGTAGTTTCAGCACGACCCGACGAAGGTTTTCGGTGCTGTTGAGGTCACCTTCGAACCCCATAGTTTCAAGAACTTTGACCGCGCAGCGGACGACAGCATGGAATCTTTCCAGCGCCGTCGGGTCCAGCTCTTTCATGGGTGGTGTGCAGAAGACGGCAGAAAGATTGGCATTTACGATGTCCTGTTCCTTTCCAAATCTCTCCATGAGCGTTTCTAAGGCTACAGGATACAGCGCACCATCATACAGCATTCCTTCGACTGTCTGCTTGGCCAGCCCCGTGACAGAAGACTGAAGATGGGCGAGTTTTTCTGCGTCGGACAAACACTGCTGGTCGTGTATGAGCGTTTTAAACAGCCCGATCCATTGTGGCCATTCAGTTGCCTTCCCGCTAAACATTGGTAGTTTGATCTGGGGAACACTTCGATGATGGCCGCCCGGTGGGTACTGCCCTGCTGACGTCATAACTTGCGGTTTGTTTGCCACCTCGGAAATCCAGGATGTTGCAGAAGCAGTCCGTCTTGGATTTAAATTTTGAACCTGCCGTTCCTTCGGTGCGTGCTCTTCTGTTTGATCTTGTTGGTTAGCCATGGTGCTCGTCGGCCGGTCCGGTTTCTGCGCCGTCAAACATTCGGTTACTGGACCGTCTATTGGGGCTGCGGCACCTTCGTCGTTCATCTCGATCACACTCGATTGCTGGTGTCTTTGGTTTTCAGCTTCTTCTCCGTCGAAGTCATTTATTCTTTCCCATTGCAGCTCGTCCTCAGCTGCCTGGCGTAAATCGGCCTCCTTTGCGGCCAATTCTGCAGCGTCCCTCGCTTCAGCCAGACGCATCTTTCTTCTCGCCTCTTCCTCAGCCAGGCGCACTTTCCTCGTTGCCTCTTCCAGAGCTCTTTCCTCTTGTGTGCGCCGTTCTAGCTGCTGCGCCTGCAGCCGTTTCAGACAGGCATTAATTTGGACTTCTTTAGATGCTGTAGAGTGGTTTGACGTACTTGACGCTTGAGATCGTATGCTTGAGCCCGCCCTTCGCGAGCTCGCTTCGGAGGGTGCGTCGCTCTTACGTGCCATTAAGTACGACGTGATTTTGTCACCAACTGATTTATAACGCTCCTCCACCTCTTCCATGTAGCGTTCTGATATTCTTATATCTTCATTGTCATCTTCGAGTCCGCTTATATACGCATCGTTTGCTTCAGCCACGTTGTCTAAAGCCTCTCCGATCCTTTCGAGTAGACCTTGCAGTTGCGTTCTGCTTCCGTTTGATGCGATAATGGTTTCGGCTACATTACAGAGTCTCGCAAATGCTCCCTTCTTCCTGGCTCGTAACTTCTTCTCAGCCGTCTCCATGATAAGGGCTACAATTTACTTTAACTGTAACAGTGCGAGATAGATGCTAGCGAGTAAAGTAGGTCATCCTTACGTTACAATGAATTCGGGGTCAATGGCAATCGATGACAAAAGCACACGACAAAAGGATCGATTCTTATCGATCCGGCCCGGAGGACCATTAATTGTTGTCGTTACAACAATCACGAATGTTGAGTTAATGAATACATTACGTTAAATGCGAAAAATTCCCATATTACGAATACGAAAAGCGAAGGGAAACGAATCGTCGTAATGCACTCAAAAAAACTGTATTTTTCGTCGAAACCCGTCGGAACGCTCAGTAAAATCATAAATAAAATATTAACGTTCCTCGTGCGCTCCAATCGCTGTCGCCTTTCGTTGCGTCGGCGACAACATGTATTTATGTAGGTGTGTTTATGTTGGTATGCGTGTAACTGTGTAGGTGGAGTTGTGTGCTTTTGTATGTGTGCTCTCGCTATCATGAGTAAATCTGCTATAGCACATAATACAAAGAAATTCGCTTTTAACGGAGAATGTGCCTCAATGATTTCCATTTTTGCTCAAACCTGTCAATCTGATTATTAATGCGACTTGCAAGGTACTCTTTTTGAATTTCGTTTTTAATTGCTATCACCAAATGTTCTACACTCGGCTTCTCACTGTTATTACGTGCTTTAAATATTACTGCTTTGGTGATTGTTATTATAAGTACTTGTAATGAGTCCTTATTTTGAAGAAAGAACCATGACTGAACGTCATTTGGAAAGGTTAAGTTATATTTCGTGTTATGAAAACTTGCTGTGTTTTGCATGAATGTTTGGGTTACTGAACAGTACCAAAACAAATGTATTATTGTTTCTGGTTCTTGCTTGCAAAAAGTGCAGGATTCCGTGTTCGATATTTTTATTTTATGTAAGAAAGTATTCGTGCTTATTATTCTGTTGATTATTCGATAATGAAGATATGATAAATACACAGATTTTGTAGCTGTTTTTATTTGCCACATACTTCCTACTTGGAAGCATCCAATGTCGCGGATCCATTTTTGCTTTAATTTGTCACTCGATGCTTTATATTTATCCCCTAAGGCCTTTAATAAAGGTAGACTGCCACCTTTTTTTCACAAAACGGTTTTCACTAGAGCTGAGCCACCTATGTCCCAGACTGAAGTCGGTTTTCCGAAATTCGAACCCGTTTGCGAGAAATCGAAGACCAAAGTTCAGTTTGATGCCATTTTTTTAGTCCAAGAAAACCGACATCTCTACTGTTTATCGATAACTTTGAAACATGAATTTTCTTATCTTTTGGTAAATATATGTCAAAACTGTGATTGTTTCGAGATCAGAGAAGAATTTTGGAGTGTCAAAATAAAAGTTAAACTTATATATTCAGTAGTTCATTTTTCCAAAAAAGTGTGGGAAATGGGGTTTAACATGGGCCAGACCCATTCCAAATGAGCCATGATTTTTTAAATGTTTTACGAACTTAAATGCAAAATAAATTAAACATGGCCAATTTCTTATGAAATCATATATTAGTAAATCATAAAATACCTTACTTTTTCAAATAAAATGTAATAATCTTATGACCTTGAAGTCTAGTGATGTGTAAACATTGTCGCTAGACATTAACCGATTGATAATTGTATGATAATCGACATTTTTTTTCGCGATTCACGTGATGATACTTTGTCAGGTGAATTCTAAAATTTTGTTTTGTCCAGGGAATAAATCATAGGCCGATCTGAGAAAACTTTTTGAAGGTGGCAGTCTTCCTTTAATAATGTGTATATGAACTTATTGACTTTTGGTTTACTCAGTACTATTTGTGTCCTGTACGGTATGTTTGGTCTTTGGAGTAATACATTGTTTGCTGTTCTTACTTCGTGGGGAAGACTTCGAATTAAGGATTCATAGCATAGGAATGACATTGAGATACGATATTTTGTTTTTATTTCTTCCCTTGTCAGAAGATTCCCTGTATCTGAGTTAAAAAGATCACCGATAAAGCTAAGCCCTTGTTTTTCCCACGACGAAACCGTGGATGTTCTAAATTTCGTGTAATCTGAAAACCAAATTGGCTCTGTAAGTATTTTGTTTGGTTCCATGTCAAGTGCTTTATTGAATTGAATTAATGCGTCAATAACATCACGCCAGAATGCATTATATATGCGAGTTTTTGCATTTGTTAGCTTTGCCGTGCCATACATTAGAAGTTTGTAAGGATCGATATGTTCGTTTTTTGAAATCGCTGTAAAAGCAGATTCGTTTGTGAGTCGTTTAATCCATGCTATCTTCAAGGTATGTATGAATGTGTTAACGTCAACCATCTGGAGTCCATCTGAATTGTAACCCTGGATTAATTTAATTCTTTTAACACGATCTGGCTTACCATTCCATAGAAAGTCATAAAACATACTTTCTATTTTTTTGATAAATAATTTAGACGGGTTCGGTAAAGCCATTAATATATGTACAAGTTTTGCAAGCAGCAATATTTTATTACCGTAATCTTGCCTATTGGGGTAAGGTAGCGTCTTTTCCACTGTTTAATTTCGGTTTCTAGTGATGCTATTTTCAATGCGAGATTTTGATCGGTTATGTTGGTAACGTCCCGAGTGAATCGTATCCCTAATATTTTAATTTCATCTACAAACTTTATTTGGTGTGCTATACTATTGTTTGGAAATTGTGGTGGAGCTACTGGACTGAGCAACAGACATGACGTTTTATTCCAGTTGAGCTTCAGACCAGATTGGGACGAGAAATAATTTAGTTCTTCAGTTGCGCCTACAAGTGAGCGCTCAGATCCATCGAGGAACAGGATAGTGTCGTCTGCGTATTGGCTGATGCGAACTTCTGTATGCGTAGTTATAGCAACTCCTGATATTTTATGTGAATTTATTATTTGTTGGGCTAAAATTTCTACCGCTATATTAAATAGATATCCTGATGCTGGGTCTCCTTGTCGAATTCCTCTTTGTATGTAGATTTTCTCGCCTAGAAAGCCATTGAGTAATATTCGAGAAAAGTTTTGTTGATTTAAATACAGGTTATTAATAATATTTATAAATTTTATTCCGAAGTTCATATTTTTCAAGACAACTCTCATGTAATCCCAAGATATAGTTTCAAAGGCGGCCTCAAAATCTGCAGCTAATATTTGGTACTCTTTATTTTGGTACTTATTGCAAGCTATAATATCATATACTAATTTTGTATTCTCTCCAATATATCGTCCCTTTATGTAAGCCGATTGCGTGGGACTTATTATGCTACTTATCACTTGTTTAAACCTGTTTGCTATTGCCGTGGAAATAATTTTATAATCAACATTCAACAAGGATATCGGTCGCCATCCCTGTAACACATGGTTTGATTTTCCACTTTTCGGTATTAAAGTAATGATGCTTTCACGATGTGTTGGTATTGTGGAGTTTTTGTCATGACACTCATTAAATGCGCGAAGTAATAAAGTTCCTAATGGTTCCCAGAAACAACGGAAGAAATCTACTGTAAATCCGTTGCTGCCAGGGGTTTTTCCTTTTTTCATACTATTGAGGGATGTTGTTAATTCTTGAAGTGTTATATTTTTTTCTAGCAACCCTTTTTCGCGATCCGATAGGGCATTTTTAACGTTCTTTTGAATAAAGGATGGATTCGTCTCATTGTCCTTCCTGCGTTGATATTTATTTTGCAGGGTTTGGGTGAAAAGGGATAATACTAGGGTTACCCGCGTGCTCCGCAACGCGAAGGGGGGATTTTTTGACCCGTGGGTATTGGGTTGGTCTGTGTCGATTTGGTTGGTAGATATCCATTTCGTTCGATTGCTTTTTGACGGCCAAGCATTTTGTAAGAAAACTAAAAGATACATCGCATCGAGGTGCCCGTGTCGTATTATCATGCGTTCTACTTTAGAATGATTCGAAAACTGGCGTGAAGTCTTTTGAGGGCCATCGATGAATTTCGCTAAAAATGACAATGTAATGGTTTGGAACATTTACATTTTTAAGGATACTGTTGCTAATCATGCAAAAATGAAGAGTGAATATTGGACAGAATTAAATGCTCTATCCAATGGTACCATATTCAATTGCCAAAGGTATCAGG